AGAAGATGTCAGCAGCAGAGGCAGTGAAAGAAAAATGGCTCCCCTACGAGGCCGGTCAGCGCTTCCTGGAGTTCCAGTACCTCACGGGAGGCCTTGTTGATCCTGAAGTCCATGGGAGGATAAGCACAGAAGAAGCCATCAGAAAGGGGTTCATTGACGGCCGAGCAGCACAGAGGCTGCAAGACACTAGCAGCTACGCCAAAATCCTGACCTGCCCCAAAACCAAGTTAAAAATATCCTACAGAGATGCCATTAATCGCTGCATGGTTGAAGATATCACTGGGTTGCGCCTTCTGGAAGCTGCCTCCGTGTCGTCTAAGGGCTTACCTAGCCCTTATAACATGTCTTCTGCTCCAGGCTCCCGCTCTGGCTCCCGCCCCGGATCTCGCTCCGGATCTCGCTCAGGCTCTCGCTCTGGTTCCCGCAGTGGGTCCCGAAGGGGAAGCTTTGATGCCACAGGGAATTCTTCCTACTCTTATTCCTACTCATTTAGCAGCAGCTCTATTGGGCACTAGTAGTCAGTTGGGAAGGGTTGCTATAATACCTTGGTTTCATTTATATGAATTTCTACTTTATTAAATAATAAAAAAGAAAACCTGGTGCTTGCAATATAGTGATAGAACATTTTTTGCTTACAGAAAAACATAGCCATGGTTGAAATCAAATAGTAAAGGCTGTTCTGGCTTCTTGTCTTTTTAGCTCATTTTGACTCGTGTAGTGCACTTGGATGTAGCGTGTGTGAAGTGGTAACACTTGTAAGGATAGCACAACTTGAACTTAGAATTTGTTTCTTCTCTTCTGTATTTAGATTTTTGATCAATTCTTCTTCAACTTTTTTGGGCCTATGATACAGATTTCTATTCTTGAAGATAAAAATAAATCAATCACTGATATTTTAGTCAATCTGATTCTCATCTAAATATTTCCATTTTCTGTATTAGGAGAATATTACCTGCTCTCCTCTACCCCCCACAAAAAATCCCACCCAAACCCAAGCATTTTGGAATGTGTCTCCTTTAGTTTTAGAATGTGGATTGTATACCCATATACTCTTTAATGTACTTGTTTGGTTTGGTATTAATTTGACTATATGTGCATGATAACAGCAATCTTTGCTTTTCTTTGGTCAGAGTTTTCTGTTTATTTTGCCTGTCATTTTCTATGTACTTAAAAAAGGTGTCTTCATGAAGTTTGCTATTCTGGCAATAAACTTTTAGACTTTTGAAGTTTTTGTGTTTTAATTTAATATGTTTATATATACACAAGGGCATGTAGGAGCTTTTCATTTATCATAAAATAGACCTAAAACTATTTTTTTACTAAATACCTATTAAGAAAGACTATTGGCCAGGCACAGTGGCTCACGCTTGTAATCGTAGCACTTTGGGAGGCTGAGGCCAGAGGATTGCTTGAGGCCAGGAGTTTGAGACCAGCCTGAGCAAGAGTGAGACCTCGTCTGTATAAAAAATGGAAAAATTAGCCTAGTGTGGTGGTGTATGTGCCTGTAGCCTCAACTACTCGGGAGGCTGAGGCAGGATGATCGCTTGAGGCCAGGAATTTGAGGTTGCAGTGAGCTATGGTGTGACACCATTGCACTCTAGCCTGGGTGACAGAGCAAGACTCTTGTCTCAAAAAAAAAAAAAAACTTAAAAATTCTTGTTAGGAGGTAGTCTTTTAAATTAGTCCTTTCGACATTTCTCTAGTGCCTATTGTATACCAGGTGGAGTCTTTAAAAAGAAACCTGTGTTAAAGAGGCCAGCCCAGAAGTCAATACCCTGTTGTAGTTTATTCTGGACAGTGAGTACCAAGTAGCGTTGGCAAAGTCACCCTCATAGCACTGAAAAAACACGAGGTGGCTAAGATTCCCTTTTGGGGTATCGTCAAAATAGATGGTGTTTCATGTTGTCCCTTAAGAGTAAAGAATTGTCGTGGAATGATTTATGAAAATTATTCTTGACGAGTTCTTGGCTCTCTGTTGAAGGACAAGGAAATACGTCTCTTCCTTTGGATCAAAGAAAAACTACTAAAATTCAGACATTTTTCATTAAATTAACATGACTTTACTGAATACCTACTGTGTCTAGTATTGGGTTAGGTACTGTGATGATTCAGTAGTACAAGCCCCCTGACTGCAAGGCATTTGCAGTCTGGGTGGGGACAGAAGACACAACACAAAGCAATCAGTGGGACAATTGTCCTATGTCAGCAGTATATAGTAATGTGATCAAACAAATTTCATAGTACACATAGAAAATAGGAAAGCAAGTGAAATGGCTAATTGTGTAGGACAGAAATGATCCTTTAGATCAGATACTTATCAGGGCTTTTGGGTACTTAGGGTGAAAGTTACCTCCATTCTCATTGCATGGGCCATTTTTCCTCCACAGCACTCATTTTTTCCATATCTCACCTCTCCTTTTCTTCCCTGGCCCCCCTCACAATTTGGAGGGCTTGAAATTAATTTGATTCACTGAATATTGAGTTCTGTGTGCCATACATTGTATGAGAAGCCATGGATCACATGCTAGAAATACATGGTACAAAAATAGGCTTCATAATCTAAAAGGAAGAAGAAAAATGTAAACGCTGTGTTGGGGGAAATGAAGGAAGTTCCTTGTGCTAGAGCTGGGACTCTGTTTGTCACCACAGGCTGCCCTGATAAGATACCACCTTAAACAGTACTGTATTTTCTCACAGTTCTGGAGGCTGGAAGTCCAAGATCAAGGTGCAGGCAGGGCTGGGGGTGAGACCTCTTCCTGGCTTGGAGATGACCAACTTCTCATTGTGTGCTCACATGGCCCTTTCTCTGTGCCTATGCAAAGGGGGTGGGCAGAGATAGAGGTAGAGAGATCTCTGGTGTCTCTTATGAGGACATCAGTTGTACCAGATTAGAGCCTTACCTTCATGACCTCATTTAACCTTAATTACCTCCTAAAGGCCCTATCATCAAATATAGTCACATTATGGATTAGGACTTCAACATGAATTTGGGGGAGGGAGGGCAGCTCAATTCCTTCCATAACAGAGGCCTAGCCTAAACAGGTGTTTGGAGACCTCTCCGGCAAAGTGATGATCAAACAGAAATTAACAGCTTCAGTGTAATGCTGTTCCTTAGGTTGAAACAGTAACTAGAGTACAGTCAAATGACAAATCTTTCCTACCCCTCCAAGCTTCTTCCAAAGTAAGCTCTGAGATGAGATGGGACCATGTCCTGGAGAGGGATTGTGCTTACCCCTGGCTAAGTTTTGATTTGGTTCACGTACATGGTGCATCCCCAGAAAAGGGAAATACATACTATAACTTGTCAATGAGAGTCATCAGGGCACATGCAAAAATAGTCTTACATTTTCCATACCACTTGGCTAACTATGGAAATGCAAATAAAAAGTAAAGATACTGTGGAAAAAGTATGAATATATTAAGAGTATAGAGCTACTCTCTTACCACACAACTGTTTGCAGCTACTGGCCCACTTTTGTATTTTATGGTGCTGCCTATCTGTGCCCTTTTTTTAGGTGAGAACTATGCTATTTGCCTTTGGCAATAATTGTTCACAAAAATTTCCTCTAGTTTCTTTTTTAGAGGTAAATAAAGTGCAAGGGGAAGCAAAAGTTTGATAATCAGGCTTGAAAAAAATAAAAATATACAAGTGATTATAGATTCTGGGAGTTAAAAGCATTTGGGGAAACTAAAAGGGCTGATTCCAGCTCTTGGGCAGGAAATATACAAAGTAAGCTTGGGTTATCAAAGCAAGAAAGCACTCAAGGACTAATGGGGATATGTCAAGGAGACACAGTGGTGGCTTAAGGTGGCTTCCACTGGCCAAATTTGGGACAATGTGAGCATCAACAAGAATTACAATGTTAATGGATATATAATACTGAATTTAAAAACTTTAAACCAATAATTTTTTTTAAAAGCCCTTGATTCCATAATGAAACAAACAAAATGGAGGTGTGGAAAGAATGCCAGTTAATAAATGCAGAAGGCATGATAATACTAGAGAATCATCGTTTACAACTTCCAATGTAGTAACAGATTCAGCGAAGGATTGTATGAGGTGGATGGGAAACAGTATATTCTTATGGCCTCAGCATGGAATCCCACAGATTACTTAACCAGTTACCAGAGGAAAATGTACTTTTAGGGTGGAGAAATGCAGCCACGACTTTTACCAAGTGATCAAATTTAGCATTACTAATAGGAGAATCAAAGATATGTGTCCCTATGGGTTATAATAACAGGTACACAACATCTCCTATGTAGTATTCTTGCAAAAATGATTAAACTGAACCTAATCATGAGTGGAAAAAAATCCGACAAATCCAGAATGAGGGACATTCCACAAGACAACTGGCCTAGGCTCATCACAAAATTCAATGTCTTAATTCAAAAAGGAGGGTGAGGAAGACTGTTCTAGATTAAATGAGACAATAACCAGTTGCAGTTCAAGGGTTGAAAAAATAATAAAACTGCTATAAAAAAATTCTGGGGACAGTGAGGAAATTCGATATGAACTGTATATTAAATGATTTTATAGAATTATTACTGTTTTTCGGTGTGATGATGTATTGTGGTTATAAAGGAAAATGTTCTTATTCTGAGGACATGCTTGCTAATATTTTTGGGGGTGAAGAATCTGCAACTTACTTTCAAAGAATTCAGCAAAAATAAGCATGTGGGGCTGTGAATGAAGAGACAGAGAAATCAAATGTGGCAAAATGGTAACAATGAGCAGAAGGACGGCTAAACTTCTCTGTAGATATAAACCATTTTTTTCTAAAAAAGTTGAGGAGGTGGGGGGAAATGCCTTTTAAGGAAGGTCAGGGCAAACGCAACCCGGAGCGGAGCAGAAGCGGCGTCTGGAAGAGGTCGGAAGACGACTCTTAAAATGACAGCGCCCGCCTTTCCTGGGGCTCTTCCCTATAGGCGGTTCCAGTCACGTGGCGCATGACCCCGCCCGCAGCTCCCAGAGGCCCGCGCGCGCCGAGGGCAGTTCCGTCGCTTCCTCCCGGCTGGTAGGCTGCGGCTATGGAAGGCGAGCCGCCTCCGGTGGAGGAGCGGCGGCGGCTGCAGGAGGAGCTGAGCGAGTTCGTGGAGAGCTGCTGCCGGACGCTGGAGGAGGTGACGGCGTCCCTGGGCTGGAACCTGGATAGTCTGGATCCCGGGGAAGAGGAGGCGGCGGAGGTGAGGGGCGCGGCAGCGGGGCCTTTTGGGGACGGCGGCCGGCGGGCTTGTGTGGCGGTGGCGGAACACGCGCGGTGTGCCCGGAGGGAAGGGCGAGGAGCCCCGGTCCTTAAGCAGAGCTGTAGCTGGCGCCCGGGACCCGAGAGGCGCCGTGGGCCCTGGCGCAGCCTTGACGTCTCCGAGTCCGGGGCTGGGGCACGCGGGGGCCTCCGGGAGCTCCACCGACGTCGGGTGTGGCGCTCCTTCCGCGGAACTTGGGGTTTAAGGAAAACGGGAAGATGCTGTGGCTGGGGACGGAAAGCCAGACCTAGTGTTTATTTATAAAACAGGTGAATGGGTCTCTGTGTGCTGCTCGCAGAGGGATTGGCGGTTTGCTTTGTCATTTGTCATATGGATTCTGCAGTTGCACCAAATTCGGTTCCAGGAGAGCTGGGAGTTCGCCAGTTCCCCTTCCTCAGCCTTAAAATTGTATGCTTATGACTAGGACAACCCCGATTAGAGGATTATTAAAGTATGTTACTAAAAGATGGTAACCGAGACGTTAGAATTGCTTTTTTTTTTTTTTTTTGAGGCAGAGCCTCACTCTTGTCACCAGGGC